CCCGCGGCGCTCGGATGCGTGAAGCGGCCACGGCGGGGCCAGGGCCGCCCGCGGGCCATGGAGCTGCCCACGGAACTGGCCACGGAGTTGCCCACGGCTGTTGGCACCGTTTGGGGCAACGGGACCCTCTGGGCTTCCTTGCCCGGCCATGGGGCCAACGGCACGGGGCCGCAAGGGGCCAAAAACGCCACCTCCATCCTCATCGCCATCGTCATCACCGCCCTCTACTCCGTGGTGTGCGTGGTGGGGCTGCTGGGCAACGTCCTGGTCATGTACGGCATCGTCAGGTGAGAGGGGGGCACCCCAGAAACCCACACCGGGGGGTGGGAAATGTGGGGAGAGAAGGGGGTGCCCGGGGGTGAGCGGGTGGGAGAGGGGAGTGTGCCCCCGGGGTGAGTGTGCACCCAGTAAGGAGGTGGCAACCGGAGCTGGTGTGCACCAGGGATGCGTGTGCAAGAGGGCAAGAGGGCAGCAGCAGAAGTGAGTGTGCCCCAGGACTGGGGGTGCACCGGGGGGGGGGTGAGAAAGCAGCAAAAGGGAGCGTGCACCGGGCGTGAGCGTGCACCGGGCGTGAGCGTGCATCAGGCGTGAGTGTGCACCAGGTGTGAGTGTGCAATGGGTGTGAGGTGGCCCCAGGAGCACGGGTGGGTGTGCACAGGGCTCTTGTGAGCAGGTAGCACCGAGCTGGGTGTAGCCGGGGGGGTGTGATGTGCGTGAATGGCGTGTGTGCCAGCACACACACGTGTGCGGAGGGTGCCCGGGTGCTGTGCGAGAGGCGAAAAGCCAAGGCTGTGTGTGCACGGGGTGGGTGTGTGTGTGCACGGGGTGGGTGTGTGTGTGCACGGGGTGGGTGTGTGCAGGGGAGACGGCATTTTGGGGGGGTGGGAAGGACGACACAAAACTGGGGGACACACCCCGACCCCAGCATCTGTGTGTTCCTCACCCGTGGGTGGAAGAGGAAGCTGCAGGGGGGGGGTCACCCCACGGTTTGGGAGAGGTGACAAGCTGGGGGCTGGTTATTTCCAACAGCAAATGTCACCGATAAGAGCTCTCCTGCTCGCAGGGAGGCTCCTGAGCCCCCTCCCCACCCCCCCAGACACCCACCCCACAGCCAGAGAGGGGCTGGTGGGCTCCTGCTGGGACCGACCCCCTCCATCACCGGGATCCAGGATGCTCAGAGTGGGAATTTCCCAGCCCATTCCCAGCTCCTGGTCCTGCCCCTCGGCATCTCCCGCAGCCCCCGACTCCTGCTTTTCTCTAACAAAGAGCCCGGAGCCTGCAGAGCCCAACCCCAGCTCCACCGTGACTGAGCCATCCCCCCAGTTCTCCCAGTACCGCCTGCTGCAGCAGAGAGACCCCCCCACATCCCCAAGGGCACCCTGAACCCCCACTTTAGCTCCATCCCCAGTGGGGAAGCAGGAACCGGGGCAGGTCCTTGGCTGGTGGAGGTATCTCTGCCGAGGCTTTCCCTGGGCAGGGAGGGAGGGGGGGTCTTCTGGGTCTCAGCAGCTCCCCCCCCCCCCCCCC